ATCTATCTATCTATCTATCTATCTATCTATCTATCTCATCCTCATCATCATTATCATCATCATCACGACAACAATAATAATAATTAGTATTATTATTATCATTATCATTACTATTACATTGTATTATCATATTGTTATTGTTATAACTATGCAGGATTCTGCCATTTTGAAAGGAGTACCAAAACCTTCAATGTACTGCATGGCATGAACAATGTCAGCATTTTCCCTCTGGGTCTAGCCCTACACCCCCCCCCCCCTTTTCAGCCGTGATGAAACACTCACAGTCTCAGGTAGAAGCACAAAGAGCGATTGTTGCTCGGTTTGTTGACCTCGTCATAGATGGCCTGGAACACACTCGACCCAGAGTTACAGTCGAATGTCTCCAAGGTGAGGAGAGTGTGTGACGTCAGAACAAAGCAGACGACGACCATCCACGGCAGCATCGTGTACAGTTGATCCCTGGACAGTGGTCACTGTCAGAAGGAAAGAATATAAATGTTAATACAAGTAGAGCATCGAGTTTGTTGATTTCGGAATTTACCGGGAAAGATTAAAGGGAATGGCTATTTCAGCTGACAAAGAAACGTCAGAATTTCAAAATGGGCATTTTGGGACTTGCAGACGTTCTTGTGCACAGTAGTTGTAAATGAGCTGATTTTAGTGATTGATAAATCGGATTTATCAATGCCATGCTCATGCTGTGCCGGAACAACATGGGGGGAACTGTTGCCTCCCCCTCCCCCCTTCATCCTTACTATCGTCATTTTTTCCTCTACTTCTTTTGTATGTTTGCCACTCTCTTGTGACCCGCTATTTCCGGGGTGCCTTGATAGTCGAAGCAGACTTTGTGCTGTTGAGGCTAGAGAGGTAAGCAGAGTAAGTCTGATTCCCCATTTGGACTTCTCTGATGACATCCACCCCTTGGTGCTCAAATGACCATAATATGCAGTTGCAAGTGCCGTAAAGCCTTACCGAAACTAACAAACAAAAAATAACAGAAACAAGGCGGATCCAGGAATGTCATAGATGGCTTTCAGCGAGATAACTGCTCATAAAATACCCTGTTCACTTAGTATGTGACGTCAGAATAAAGCAGATAGGAGTATCCACAGAAGCATTGTGTCGCTCTAAGTTGATCTTTGGACGGTGGTCACTATAAAAACAAAGATAGAGATAGATTCTAGATCTACATTATGTACTTTTATACCGTAGCCTACACAGTAGTTGTTTTAGCATTGCACTTCCGGTGAAACAAGTCCTTGTAATTAGGTCTATTTCACAAGTGTAAATTATATAAGCTGATATCTCACGTGTGAAATATTCTAATATTACACAAATTACTCCACGAACTCTATTCGACTTCTAACCTTCTGTAAGTAAAGTATAGAGTCTAGACTTGAATCATAATATACCTAGACAGTGCAATATTATAGCAGCCGCTCTTTGCCTCCTGTATGTAAAAACTGCGTTTCAAGGCGCGCTCACCATAGGCACCCAAATGAAGTGCCAGACACCAGTGTCCCTCTAGATCTTGAGATCTATTTGAGGGTAGCCTACGAGTAACTTTCTACGTCGTCCCAAAGATAGTACAAGACAAGATGGGATAAATTTCGGAAGAACGCTTTTTAAAAATGATTACGCTGACAAAAAACCTCTTCCGGAGGAAAAGGAGATGGTTTTCTTCGTTTAATTTGACTTTAGAATGAAGGGCGAGAGGTCATTAAAATAAAAAAAACCTTAAACTCCGCACTGAACATACTCGAACTGCTGATGAACAGCAGTCGATCTGCGCACGCAAGGAGGTGCTATTCCTATTCTTCTTCTGGAAAAACGAAAGAGAGCTTCAAAACAGACTGCAGCGCCATCTGAAGCAAAGAGCATACTTCCTGCGGATACTTTTTAGGCTGAGTGGCACATCTTGTCTTGTACTATCTTTGGTCGTCCTTAATTTTGTTCCAAATTGAGTTAAATGGTGCGCACCATAGTGAACCAAGACTAAGTCAGAGTGCGGTGGTGTATTTTTTAGTGTAGACAAAGATAGTACAAGACAAGATGGGCCACTTCTCTCTTTGAGCCAATTAAAAAAGTGTCCTCAAAATTTGGTGGCGCCCTCTTCACAAAAGCGCACTCTTTGCGAACAGAGTTACCCTTCTTGAGTTTTAAAAAATCAAAGTGAAACTAGCAAGTTTGGGGATAAATTTCGGAAGAACGTTTTTTAAAAATGGTTACGCTGACAAAAAACCTCTTCCGGAGGAAAAGGAGATGGTTTTCTTCGCTTAATTTGACTTTAGAATGAAAGACGAGAGGTCATTAAAATTTTAAAAAACTAAAACTCCGCACTGAACGTACCCGAACTGCTGATGAACAGCAGTCGATCTGCGCACGCAAGGAGGTGCTATTCCTATTCTTCTTCTGGAAAAACGAAAGAGAGCTTCAAAACAGACTGCAGCGCCATCTGAAGCAAAGAGCATACTTCCTGCGGACACTTTTTAGGCTGAGTGGCCCATCTTGTCTTGTACTATCTTTGGTGTAGATTCTCTACTATGGTGCGGTTTAAAATTCGTGGCTCAACTTATCCTCAAATATCTATTAAACGGGCGAATCACCATCACTCATATTTTTCACAGCAGTTTGTATCCATTCTTCTTAACTTAATCATATTTTTCCACAACAATTGAGGCAAAAAAAAAACGTTTCTTCATAAATTTATATAAAATACTACAAATATCCTTCACGTGGAAAATGGAATTGTTCACAGCACTCCCCGCTTCCTACACACATTTTTCGTACGCTTATGGCCTAGGCCACAGCTCACCAATGACACTTTTTAGTGGCAAAGCTAGTAGCAAGAAATTAATTCTATATTGAACACTTTTTGCACTAAAGGTTTTCAACACAAGCGTTCAATAGGTCTAAACATAATCTCGCCATTAGAAAAAAATAACGGACTTGCTTTTGAAAGCGATATTGTCCCCGCTCTAAACCTTTTAAGATCTATAGAAACCACCCACTGAGATTTTTTATTAGTATTTATTAAATAATTTTTCTAGAATAGAGGTGTTCACCAAAATATTGATGTGTTAAGACAAATTGATATACTATAAGTCGCTGTGCAAAAGCTGGAGAGTTTATGTTAGATAGTTGGGGAGATATTTGACAATAATTTGCGCCACGAATTTTTGACTGCACTATATCAAAGAGTCTACATAACAAGAGGGGCCACTTCTCTCTTTGAGCCAATTAAAAAAGTGTCCTCAAAATTCAGTGGCGCCCTCTTCGCAAAAGCGCACCTTTAGCGAACAGATTTATCCTACTTGAGTTTTTAAAAATCAAAGTGAAACTAGCAAGTTTTTGAATGAATTTCGGAAGAACGTTTTTTTTAAATGGTTACGCTGACAAAAAAAACCCTTCCGGAGGAAAGGGTGATTGTTTTCTTCGTTTAATTTGACTTTAGAATGAAAGGCGAGAGGTCATTAAAATTTTAAAAAACTAAAACTCCGTACTGAACGAACCCAAAACTGCTGATGAACAGCAGTCGATCTGCGCACGCAAGGAGGTGCTATTCCTATTCTTCTTCTGGAAAAACGAAAGAGAGCTTCAAAACAGACTGCAGCGCCATCTGAAGCAAAGAGCATACTTCCTGCGGACACTTTTTTGGCTGAGTGGCCCATCCTGTTATTTACTATCTTTGACTATATACAGTGAACGATGTTATCAAATTAGTGTGTCTGAAAATAAAGGCAAACAATCCAGTTGTTTTTTTCCAATCCTCAGTCTAACTTTGATGGGCATGACCTTTTTTCATGTGAGATTCTGGAATGGATCCTCTTGTCCACTTGATTGGTTATGTATTTGGAATCTATTTCGCCAGCTGGTATCAGTATGGTCTAAAAATTGTTACCCTCATTATGGCGGTAGACCATGAATTAACCTACAAGTGAAATTGCCAGTTTTAATCACTCGTTGTAAGTCGTGAGTACAACTTGGTAATTTCACTTGTAGGATAAATCATGATAGAATAAATTCCTTACTCAAAATATTGTTGTTTGTTTGATATGATACATACTATTTCCAGATTGTCTTAACCTATCCGTACGTCGTATTTTGCTATCGTATCCATACGACGTGGGGAACTCTGTACCACCTCTTCCAAAGAGGAAATTTACTCGTTAATCCGATCCGTACGCTTTGCATAGCAGTCTGTCAAAATTAGTTTTTTCAAAGAGATCTTTGAACTAGAAGTATTCTGAAATGTGAAGAATACAACCCCGGTGGTACGAAATGACCCCAGGGCATACAGATAGGGTTAAAATTTCGGTATTTCTTTGGGATGATCAAGGTGATGCAAAATATGTCAGCTCAGCAAGAAGTGACCGCATCAGAAACGTTGTTTATTTGTTCTCGGGGTCTACAGAAGAAAAGGTGCGTCGCATGACAACATCGTCCGTTTGGGATACGGTTCACGTTAAGAGTTGGGCTCGCAATAAAAACACCATTTGAAAAGAACAAAAAATTTAAAAAAATTAAATTCGGACACGAGCAGTCACTAGACCTAACTCATTGAGTTAAAAAGTGTAACGTGAAAAACTCCAAAAAGTAGAAGTTGCTTAAAAACTCATTTATTTTTCCCAATGTTTAAACCACTAAGCTATAGATCTATAATCATACAGGGTTTTAAAAAATACGTATTTCTTCTAAGGCAACTTACCTGTTCTCAGTCTGAACTAAAGATCATGCATCCTTTTCAGGCCTACATCTCCTCATATAAATAGATGCTTGAAATTTAATGATGAGTTCAAATGAGGGGGAAACAGACGAAGGTGTTGGTGGTTCCCCAATGACTGGTGAGTATATTAGACAACGTCCCTTCTATATCGGTCACGTCCATACAATTGATTGCAGATATTTTATGATGCTGTCCTTTGTATGGAGAAGCTCGTATCTGTCAAAATGGGTGTTTTGTCGCCGATTGGTCAGGGAAGACAAAATGAGAGGCAGAGGGATGGAAGGACAGAGAGAGTGTGTGTGTGAGAGAGAGAGAGATAGAGAGAGATGGAGAGAGAGAGAAAGAGAGGGAGAGAGAGAGAGAGAGAGAGAGAGAGAGAGAGAGAGAGAGAGAGAAAGAGAGAGAGAGAGGGGGGGCTGTAATAAAAGAAAAAAAGAAAGATAACCAAAGAAACAAAACGCAGGAAGAAACCAAGAAGGAAAAGAGGGAAAGAAAGAAAGGAAAAAAAGCGTTACATCTATAATCTCTACTCAAAACGTTCAGTCTCAGTAAGATTATTATAATCGTTTGATACTAATATTATATCAACAACAACTTTTACTTACGTCGAATCTTCTGAAAAAGTCGATTTGATCCACATACGTATTTACTTGGTTTCTCGTTCAATGGGAATATGGACGGGACCCCCCCAGATGGTAATGATTTTAGGTAACCCCTTATCCCCACGCGGATACAGCAGTACGGCTTCTAGGAGTATTCAATTATTGTGGGTGGTACAAGGCATTTCTTAGAAATTTATTTCTTGCTCATTCTTCTTTATTCTCATTTATTTTTCAGTTTAATGATCATGTTATTATTCTTTCACCTTTCCATCCACCTGTTTCATAGAATTTATTGATATAATACATTGTTGAAAAATCAATAATAGACATAATTATTATACTGGATAACTATTTGATCGTTGTAATTTTTTTTTTTAATATTTCAAGTAGTGTGGGCTATGATCAGAGCATTCAGGAGACCCGAGTTCAAATTAATCCTGAGTTCGAATCCCGATTTCGATTCCCGAATTCGAGTCCTGTGTGGTTTTGGAGGGGGGGGGGGGTATAGTAAATGTTTATCGAGTATCTTGGTCTTTCAGATTCTGCAGGGAAGTTGCATGCCTCTCAACCCGGGTCGTCTCAGACAGGCACGGTGGGAAGCCCATGCACCTCTTAAATAATCTTAATTGTAACAATAAGGGTGTAAAAACATCGGCTTTAGTTGACAACACGAAGTGAGTAGTGAGTTTTGACTCAATTAATGTCAAGCAAGTGTCGATGCCACGGGGATCAGAAGGGTGGTCACTAGGGCGTGTCCTTGAGTGAGACACGACAACCCTAGCTCAAAATATAGGGCGCTGCACAGTGGCGACCGACAGTGGTATGGTCGTAAATTGCTCTGTATTTGTGTAATATCTTGTATTTATGTATGTATTTATTCATGTATTTATGTATGAACGTATTTATAATTATGTATTTATGTATGTAAATGTACGTTTGCCATTGTAAACCAAAGTGCCCTTCTGGGACAAATGAAAGTGTAATTTATTTTTTATTTTTAAAAATTGTTTTTTACATGGTCACTAGAACTGCACCTCGGTGCTCCCCAGTCTGTATTTGAACACAAGCAGTGCGTCCTTTCAGGGAAGAAAAAAGACATTCTACGATCCCTTGTTACGATAGAACAGGCTACATAATAATATAATTCGTATATCATTATACAAGAAACAGGGAACGTTCGGAAGTAAAGATATCTTTATTGGTTCAAGACAAAAATTTTGGGAGAAAGGAAAACCGGGTTGATGTAATTGAAACAATGTATTCTTAATAAAGTACTATCTTATCTCTCTCTTCTCTCTCTCTCTCTCTCTCTCTCTCTCTCTCTCTCTCTCTCTCTCTCTCTCTCTCTCTCTCTCTCTTATGTGTGTGTGTGTGTGTGTGTGTGTGTGTGTGTGTGTGTGTGTGTGTGTGTGTGTGTGTGTGTGTGTGTGTGTGTGTGTGTGTGTGTGTTGTTGTTGTTGTTGTTGTTGATGTTGTTGTTTTGGAGTTTTTAAAAAAAATAGTTGTTGGTTTTTTTGGTTCATGATAATGAGTTGTATTAATATAAGCTTAGACTTGAATCATGATAAACTCCTAGAACGTGCGCTATCACTCACTGCCACCGCTCTTTCCTCCCTATACATTGGTCGCTTTTAAGGATAAGAGGGTTAACCCAGATTTCGGGGTCTGCAGAAATCTTGACCTACACCAAAAGTGGGCATTGCCCAACCTTTAGAAGAAGTTTGGTTACATTGGTGTGTATATTTGTTTAGTTATAGAGAAAACTCTCCTTATCTTTAAAAGAAATTGAACAGGGGTCAAAAAATTTACCTCCGATTTTCTCAAAACGGCATTTTTCGGGATAACCCCCTTGTGCTTAAAAGCGACTAATTGTACTTGGCTGTTAATCGCGCACACCATGGACTACCAAACGAAGGGCAAAACACCAGTCTCGCACTCGTTGTAGTCGAGAGTGCGCACAGAATCTCCCCCCCCCCCCTTTCCCAAACCACCACAATCTCCCCTTTTTGCCCTTCATTTGTGTCACGACGTGATGGAATCAGTCACGCTTGTCAATTTTGGGGCACAATATGGGGTTATTGGTATCACCTTAAAGCCTGTTCATTGGCCTTTGTCTTGTTGAAAAAAATATCAATCTATGTTAAATAGAAGTCGAGTTATTTGAGATTGAAGGGGGTCAGGGATGCGTGGTTTCAGAGGTAAAATTAGCGAGAAAATGGTCGTCAAAGTTTGGTAACTTCCACTGTCTGAAAGTCCTTGGAAACTGAAAATGTACATTTTTGTGTGCCTTTAATCAATGCTTTACAGAAAATCCACCTACATATGTGCTTTTTAATGGACATAAAAGGTGTTGAGGCAAAAAAAAAAATTGAAAAAATAAATCGACCCCAAAAAATGTCTATTTCTTTGCTGTCATTATTTTGACGCGCGCCTGACCTCACCACACTGTCTCACATTTGTCTCCAGCTAGATAAAAGAGCACGCTCTATTGTGAGTCGGAATTACGTCATAGTGCGTGATCTAAGGTATCATCATACACGTCTTTGGTCGTAACAAAGGTCGTACATAACAAGACAGTTCACTCGGCCAAAAAAGTATCCGCGGAAATCTGCGCACTGGTTCAGATGGCGCTGCAGTCTTTGTTTTGAAGCTCTCTTTCGTTTCTCCAGAAGAAGAATAGGAATAGCACAGTTTGTTAGATTCGCTTTTATTACTTTATTGTTTTTGACACAGATAGGGCAACTCTGTTCGCAAAGTCCGCACTTTTTCGAAGAAGGTGCCACCGGATTTTGAGGACACTTTTTTAAATTGACTTAGAGAGGAGTGAACTATCTTGTTATGTACGATCTTTGGTCGTAAGATACATGAGAGCATTGATAATTAGATATATGGAAATAATTATAATATCGATGTAATTATGTCTCTGTCTGCAATAGTGATGATGATGATGATGATGATGATGATGATGATGATGATGATGATGATGATGGTGGTGGTGATGGTGGTGGTAGTGGTAGTAGTAGTGGTGGTGTCGCACATGTTCATTCCATAATCTTCTGGTAATGAAACCGAATATTTTCATCCTGTATATCCAGCTTATCCAAGACTTCTACCACGATGTCCGCTTTCTTCTTCTTCGTCTCTCTGCGCCTTTCTTTCTTGGCCTTCTCCATCGCCACTAACTCTTTGTGCACAGCGGAGGACGCTACTTTCCTCGTTGGCCCTTTGGGAAACAATTTATTGAAGTCTTTTTGCGTCGACAGAAACTGTTTCACTTTTTCCTGCAGAGGGTCCACCGGTTTTGCCAGACGTTTCGTAAATATAGATTTCCAGTCAATCATCTCTTCTTCGTCGTCATCGTTAAGGTTGTTCTTGTTTGTACTTTCAACGTCATCCGTGTCAAAACGAGGGTCGGTTGGGTCAAGGTCACGGAAGGGGTTAGGAGGGGAGGCGATCGAGACGCGCTTCCGGGCAGACCTCGTCGTTCTGGGTCCTGATGGGGTTATTGGGACAGACGTTTCTTGTTTGAGCGGATGAGGACTTTCGTCTGCTGCCTCAGGGCAGTATTCACTGGCGCTAATTTTGTTGTTGCTGCTGCTGCTACTGTTGTTGTTGTTGTTGTTGCTGTTGTTGTTGCTGTTGTTGTTGTTATTGTTGTTATTGTTGTTGTTGCTGTTGTTGTAATTATCATAATCATCGTCATGATTGTTGTTGCTGTTGTGGTTACTGCAGCTGTTGTTTTTGTTGTTTTGGTGGCTGCTACTTCTGTTGGATATCGCCTGTTTCATGATGGAAGCGACCAGCGGGAATTTCTGACTAGCACTTGATGGGCGCCTACTTTGAGATTCCCCAGAACTGACGCCGTGTCTGTGCTGACCCAAGCTAGAGTCACGTCCGTCTGTACAATCGCCTCTAGCACCGCTGTTCTTGACAGCGTCGCTGTTCTGTCTACTGTAGGGATGATTAACTCTTTCTTCCCAAGCGGACGACGATTTTCTGAACCTACCGATAACACCGGTGTTGTTTGCACGGTCTAAATTGTTTATCCCACCGTCCTCGATAAATTTGGAATTCAGCATATCCTCTTTTGCCTCAACCTCAGTCCTCTGTTCGCCATCTCCTCCTCCTCGTTCTTCCTCCCCCTCCCCCTCCTCTTCTTCTTCCTCTTCCTCCACCAACCTATCCTCCAATACCTCCCGCTTCTGACCAATAGCCGTGAAACTACGAACGGGAAGTTTCCGTTTAAACATGAGTTCCCGGACTCGGCCTATGTCGTTGGCCATGCTGCTCCCCTGTGCAGTCAACAGACCGCGCTCCGTGAAGTTGGCGATGGAGAACTTTCGCTGTATCCGCTGGAATCTGGTGGAGGCGGACATCTCACTGAGAGACTCGCGCATCCGGCTGGCTGTGGCAGAGGCGGAGAGACGGCGGAGAGAGGCCGGGGCGCTGAACACACTGGCCCGGGGGTGGTCCATGGATGTCCTGGTGGCGACATTCTGGGGAAAATGTAAACAGCATGTTTTGTTTTGTTTTGTTTTGTTTTGTTTTGTTTTGTTTTGTTTTG